TGCACAGTTGCTCTGTCCCTCTCATGTGGCTCTTCCCACACGGTCTTGCTAAGTGGTGCAGGGCTGGCTCAGGGAGGGTGGCGGGAGCTGTGCATCTTCCCCCCCCCCATATGTGCCCAGGGCGATTGCCCCAGCATCCCTCTCACGTTACACCCCTGCTCCAGGGTTTCAGAAGGTGAGCCCTACCCAGTGGCGTAGCGTGGGGGGTGCAGGGGGGGCCAGCCGCACCGGGCGCAACATCTGAGGGTTAGGGGGCGCAAATCCACGGGCTAGGGGGCACAAATTACTTGCCTTGCCCCGGGTGCTGACAACCCACGCTACGCCACTGGCCCTACCTAGAGATTGCAAGGATTGAACCTGGGACCCTTTGTATGAAAGGGGGTCCTCTGTTTCTTCTTCTAGGTTCCCCCCCCGCAACCCTGCAGGGTAGTGGGGGTGGGGTGGCAGTATTGCGCAAACCTACAAACTTAAGCAATTTTACCGTGGCCGTTTGTGGCCCAATGGCACTTGCCTCCCTTACGCAATCAAAAGAGGCTGGCAAAAATGGTTATGCCTGTTTTTAAAAAATGCATGTGCACTTTTGAAATCGGTGGAGAATAAGTCAAGTCAATAATTAAACAATGCTGTGACTCAGAGTAAATCACTGCTAAGCAACAGTCGTTCCAGTTTTACGTACTCAAAGGGAGCTGCTCATAATTAACCTTTTGCATTAAACACTCCTATGCACCACAGAGCTTTAAAGTCCAGATCATATAAAAAGCAAAAGCGCCTTTCCCTTTGCTGTACCCATTGAAGGCTGCATAGGTGTCTATGTGCATGCGTGTTTTTGAACACTCCATACCAAAAAAATGATTTTCTGTACAGAGGGACAACTTAAATAAATAACTGTGTGTGTGTGTGTGTGTGTTGCACTTTTAAATGGTGCAGTCTAGTACAAAACCTTATTCCTTGGTTCTGGCCAGGGGTGCTGAGAAACTTAGCTACATGGTACATGCAGACTCTTGTAATAATGAGGTACCGGTAACTGTTAGGTGGATTTGTAGCTGGTTGACTGACCGAACCCAAAGAATACTTGTTAATGGTTCCTCATCATCCTGGGGGAAAGTGACACGGGCTTTCCTGGGCCTGCTGTGGTTCAACGTCTTCATGAACGATTTGGATGAAGGAATTGAGGGGATGCTCATCAAATATGCAGATGACACCAAACTGGGAGGGGTAGCTAATGCTGCAGAAGACAGAATCAGAATTCAAAATGACCAAAATTATTGGAGAACTGGGTGCTAGCTAACAAGATGAATTTCAGTTGGGACAAATGTACTGAAAGGTTCTGCACTTAGGCAGGAGTAACCAGCTGCAGAAATATAAGATGCAAAACACCTGGCTTACATGTGAAAAGGATCTAGGGGTCTTAGTGGGCAACAGGTTTTGCAGTAGCAAAAAAAGCTAATGCTGTTCTAAGCTGCACCCACAGAAGTCTAGTGTTGAGGTCAAGGGAAGCAATGGTACCGCTCTATTCAGTCTTGGTCAGACCACATCTGGAGTACTGTGTCCAATTCTGGGCACTACAATTTAAGGAGGATGTTGACAAGATGGGATGTGTGTAGAGGAGGGCAACCAAGAGGATCCGGGGTCTGGAAACCAAGCCTTATGAGAATCAGTTGGAGCTGGGTATGTTTAGCCTGGAAAAGAGGAGACTGAGAGGAGATATGAGAGCCATGTTCAAATATCTTAAGGGCTGTCACATAGAGGATGGAGCAAACTTGTTTTCTCCTGCTCTGGAGGGTAGGACTCGAACCAATGGCTTCAAGTTACAAAAAAGGAGATTCCAACTAGACATACGGAAAAAAACTTTCTGACAGTAAGAGCTGTTCGACAATGGAAAGGTCTCCCTCGGGAGGTGGTGGACTCTCCCTCCTGGGAGGCTTTTAAGCAGAGGTTGGATGGCCATCTGTCATGGATGCTTTAGCTGGGATTCCTTCATTGCAGGGGCTTGGACTAGATAACCCTTGGGTCCCTTCCAACTCCATCATTCTACGATTTTATGAAAAGCCCAGTGGCTTCCTTCTTTGCTGCAAAAGCATCATGGGAGAGACAGCAACTTGGAGTAGAACAGCAGCACAGAGGAGTTGCTTCATCTTTCTCTGTCAATCATTTCTCTGCTCCCAATCATCCTCAGAGCCACTCCCTGCTCCCTACCCCAGGTTGCAAACAAACATTTGGAAACCTGCAGCGAAAGCCACCAGGGTGTGACCAAGGCGTTTTGCTGCTTGTGGCAGGGCAGCAAATACTGTAGTGTGCTTTCTCCCCTTCTGCCTCCTACCTGCTGTGCAAGTCAAGGTGCCTACTGCAAAAGGCCAACCAAGTTATTTTGATATTTGGGATAGAAAAATCTCACAATTTTCTCTTGCCCTTCTTTGGAAGGAACAGTTCAGCAACAGTAAGGGCAGCTATCCATGCCTTGCCTTTTCATGACTCCCCAAAATCAGCTTCAAGTGTGTTGGGTGGCAATTCGTAATGGGGGAAAAGAGGGTGTCGAGACAATTGTCCCCTTGCTTAGGCATCTGAGTAAAAGGTGGCATTTGGATAGAGATTTGCTTCTTTGCAATTAGAATGATCTTGTCAAATTAAAGCTCCTGTGTTTTAAGGGTAGGAGAAGAGGCTTGGTGATTGGGAAGTAGTTTCTGCTGCAGGAAAACAAAAGTACCAGGAGATTCTAGCCTTCTGATTAGTTCAGGGCATTCACCACCATTTTACTATATTTATTTTTTACTATTGTTGGCATCCACCTGTCTCGAAAAACAATGGAGTGAGCCTCTGGGGGGCAAAGTCAAACCACTGGAGTATTACTGCACCTGCCGTGGCTTCAGAGACCTGTAACTTCCAAGTGCTGCTGCCTCTCGTTTTTACTGCGTCAGCAGTCTTGGCATGCAGGGAAAGTCCGTAACTCACCAAGGGTTTGAGACCCATCCGCTCCCCTCACCTAGTTTAGCTGGCCAGTCAAAGCCGTTTCCTGGAGTGTGACCATTGTTGCATACTGACAGCTTCTGGGAGCCACAGGTGATAGCTGAGCGCAGGATGGAGACTACAGCTGGACAAACTACCCCAGGAGGAGCATAATGTGCCGTCCCCCACCAGATTTATTAAACCCTAGTAACACCCCATACACCAGCGAATTGCCATGGATTATATCTGGTAGCCTCAATGCTTGGCAATATGTATAGAGTTAGACTAAATTAGCTTTGCTATTTTGTTCTGGTTTACAATTCCAAGCTGCATTGACAATTGGTTTTTCTAACTGTAGTTTTTACGAGAATTTTGATCCCATTTTATGCTATCGTTTATTTTGTTATTTCTTATTAATCCACTTCATTTAAAATTGGCGTGTGTCTATTTGGGTGAAGCCTTTGTACCGAACACAGTTCCTAAGTTCCTGGTCGCTTGCTGTTAAGTTAGTGATCCTGGGGCTCAAGGAGTAAAGAGCCACTGCCATTTCTCTAGAGTGTTAGGGGTGTCTGCTAAGGTCTGAGTCTCCTGTCCCAGGCTGGCTGGACAGTAGTGGTGGCAGTGTATCTTGCAAGGCTGGTGGTAGACCCTGAATAGTAGTTCTGCTCTTGTAGTGCAGACCACCAGCAAAAACTCCTTTGCACCACTTAAGCAGTTTCCTGCTGTCACAGGACAACTATTGAGCCCCTCTGATATGCTGGAGTGGCTGGTTTTCAGATGACATAGTCTACTGCTTTCATAGTTGCTTTAGCCATCTTTTCCAAAAATTATATAGTGCTTCTATTTAATGCACTTTTAAGTGTAATAAAGGTAAAGGTACCCCTGCCCGTACGGGCCAGTCTTGACAGACTCTAGGGTTGTGCGCCCATCTCACTTAAGAGGCCGAGGGCCAGCGCTGTCCGGAGACACTTCCGGGTCACGTGGCCAGCGTGACAAAGCTGCATCTGGCGAGCCAGCGCAGCACACGGAAACGCTGTTTACCTCCCGCCAGTAAGTGGTCCCTATTTATCTACTTGCACCCGGGGGTGCTTTCAAACTGCTAGGTTGGCAGGCGCTGGGACCAAGCAACGGGAGCGCACCCCGCCGCGGGGATTAAAACTGCCGACCTTTCAATCGGCAAGCCCTAGGTGCTGAGGCTTTTACCCACAGCGCCACCCGCATCCCAGTGTACACACACCAAGTAAATGTTGGGGGTCTCACCTTAGCTTTTAAGTCAGGCAAAGGCAAACTCCGGCCCTCCAGATGTTTGGGACTACAATTCCCATCATCCCTAGCTAACAGGACCAGTGGTCAGAGATGATGGGAATTGTAGTCCCAAACATCTGGAGAGCTGGAGTTTGCCTAAGCCTGTTTTAAGTTATTGTGGCATACACTTTCATTGATTGGAGTCTGATCAGCTGCAAGAGCTGTGTTTTTTATTCCAACTGACTAAATATGGCCAACTCCTCCTGGTAGCTGTCATCTTAAACAAGCATTCACACATAAAAGCGTTGGGCTCCCAGGCACATGCCAAAATTCAAGTGAGAGCGAAAACATAGATGAACAACTTGCAGGTCAACACATCTGGAAGCTCACAGCTCCCATCATCCCTGATCCGACACCTGTAGATTCCTCATCCCTGAGGTATAATCAAGAAGTCAAAGGAAATATTGAGCAAGTGTCAAGAGAAGAGGCAGTGGCTAAAGTAAAGGTAGGGATGAGGGGGAATGGAAGGCACCTGGCAATGCTGGAAATTGGCATTTTCAAATATACTATTATTATGGACCAACCAATTTAATCTGTTTGGCATTCATCAGCTGCACCCCTATGGGACATCTGCTTATGCCTGCATTGCAGGGGGTTGATTACTTGTAATAAATGGTGATGGATTTTCCAGTTTTAAGATGACCCTTCAGCTAGAACTGATGAAGCAATTTCATGAGTCCAGTTCTTTAAGTACAAGTTACCAACAGGCACAGAATTTACCCAGATTGAAAAGAACCTACTAAGCAAAGTAGTCACTTCATATTCAACTTTAATATAAAAAGACATTAATCACTTTCAAATGCATTAGAAAGTTTCCCCTTACAAACTGCATGATCTGGCACAAAAACTGAGTTACAGAAATAGGCATCTACCTGCCAGGTCTGGAAAACATACACTGCTGTTTTCAAATCAGGTGCTTCAAAAGCACTTAAATTATTAAGGCCGCAATCATGAAACCACTTCCTTGAAAGCAGCCCCATTAACCTCAGGAGGGGCTACTTATGCAAAGTGGTTTCAAATTGCAACCTAAACTAAGACAAAGACATTTAGCTATACATACACAATGACAAGGATCTTTATGCTTTGAAAGAGTTGTTCGGGTTGTGCATGGTGCGCAGCCATATTGGCTTTGAGGGCTATGGTAATTCCCATTGCAAAGATACTACAACTCTTTGCTGGGAGATAAGGCGTCCAACATTTTGACATGTGTCTTTTGCATACAGTGTCACAGCTGCAGAAATCAAAATGAGTTTTAAAAAGCAACATTTCCATTGATCTATGCAAACAGATGCAAGGTAGCTAAAATTGCTTTGTCAGGTGGCAGATATACTCCTTTAACTGTTAAATGAAACTTTTTTTTCAAAATAATCAAAGTACTCACAGCGCTTTCTATTTTCCCACAACGCAGTATTGTTTCCTGTATTACCAGTTTACCAAGGCAAACGTTGGGCAATTGTATTGCAAAGGTTATCACATATAACACACCCTCTCACTGGAAACCGCTTCTAGGAGTTAAGACAATTCATACGCACTCAAACAATTTCATCTTTTTCTTCAATGTTAACCTGCTATGGTAACATCTGTTAATCACGACTCAGCTGAACGCATATTCACACTTGGCATGAGTGGAGCAAGTTAAGTTCGGAGAACACTCTTGAAAGGCCTCTGTAACAGTCTTGTAGTAATTAGTGCAAGGTGAAGGGGGTGTTTCCCCCCCAAACACAGAGAAGTAGGATGGTAAACTTCAGCCAAATAATTCACTTGATGACACAAACATATAAATACTTATAAATAAAACCCACATAATTTATGCTTGAAGGTAACAAAAACATGGCTTGAACTTAGGCATCAAGAGCTCCTGCAGCCTGATGAATGCTCCTCCTCTGATGTTCACATGTCAAAACTTAACTCCTTACTCCAACCTTCTTCAACTTGGTGCCCTCCAGATGTTTAGGACTGCAGCTTCCATTAGCCCCAGCCAACATGGTTGTGTTGGCTGGGGCTAATGGCAGTTAAAATCTAAAACGCCTGCAAGTAAAAAATGTCTGGGGAGCACTAGATTGGAGAAAGCTGCTTTTCATAGTATTCCCAAGACTGAATGCTGTCAACTGCTCCTACCTTAAGAAGTCAGATATTTACAAACTTCTGCTGAGCTGTGGAGAGAGGCCCACGGTATGGGGAAAAAAATCCCTTTTTCAAAGTGATTTAAAAAAATACAACTGCAAATATTTCAGGTTTTAAATAAGCAGTTGGCAGAAGATTTATAGCAAAAATATATCTTCAGAAAATAGCTGAAAGGTTCTGAATACTGATAAACATTTTTTTTCAAAACTATTAACTATTTAAAAACAGAAAAGAAAGAATGACAGAGAAAGCTAGCTAGGATAATGGGCACCGCTGCTTTTTTGGCTCTTCCAAGAGCTTATACGGCAAATAAATGTAGAGAAGTCTGTGAAGTATTTACTTGGGATAAAGGAGTGGGAAGGGTACACCAAACCTTTGGTCCTCGGGCCAATTACTTCAAAAGTAGTCCCACTAAAGTCATATGATTAAACCAGCAAAAGCAAATGCAAAGGATTGGTGGAAGGTTCCCAGCCTAGATAAAATATGGGCTTCAACTTAAGCAAAGGCCTTACAGCCCACCTTTTGCATGCTGAGGGCTGGAATCTATCTTGCACTTGCACCTTACAAGGGAGGATGAGATGCTCGAGGAAGGAGGAATCTTGCTACACCATTTTAAGCTCCTTCTAAATACTGTACTAGAAGGATCTGGTGTTGGACCCCAAGGAGGCAGCCTGGGGAATGTATGGGTTCAGGACAGAGAAATGGCGTGACTAACCTTGTGCACCCAGGAGTCTTTTGACATGAGAAGCCACGACTGAAACCCTAGGAAGTTCCTAATGCAGTTTGTGGCATGGCATAGGGGTGTCACAAGGTTTCAAAATCAGTAGGCTGGCAACTGGTTGATGTGCCTAGAATACCTCCCTGAATTGTGGCTGCTGAAAATATGTAAAGTTCAAACACTACAAATTGCAGGTTAACTTTATACATTAACGCAGCTTTGCAAAATGAAGTGCTTTGCTTTTTGCTTTTTTTTGGAAGATCATGTGCAGCTTTGAGAAGATAAACTATTTGGAAGTTTCACTACTCGGGATCTGGCTTCTTTAAAGGATGTCTCCTTCACTCTTTGTCTCAAGATTCAACAAGAATCTCCACAAAATGATCAAGCTCATTAAGGTCAGATTTACAGTTAGAGTTAGAATTTGTGGCTGCTTGAGGAAAAGTTTCAAGTACATCACAGTGTCCCATTTTTGTACTGCCCATCATTCCCGTTAATACTGTGTCTAGATTGTAATAGGAACTGTCGACTTCTGAAAAGAGATCTTCAACCGAGTCAGGAGTTTTTGTTTCTAAGGTTTCAAATATTTGATCCAATGACTTGTGGAAGTTTCCTCTATTTTCTGGAGGGCTCTCCATGTCCCACACATTGCTCTGCAGGTTTCTGGGAGCTTGTAGTGGAGCAGGTCTTAAGATTTCTGAACTCTCTTCTGACTGTGCATCTTCAAAGTCTTTTGAGAAGCCACTATAACCTTGAACAAGCTTTTCTTCAGCTTGCTCTTTCGAAGACCGACAGAGAATATCTGTTGAAACCAGCCGATCAAGAGAAGTTGGTCCTGTACTCTGTGCATTTATCATCTGCCAAGTTCCGTCTTGGGTCATTTCCTCTTGAATCTGCCGTACTGTATTGGCTATAAGTACTGAACGATACAGATTAGGTTCAACAAGCATGTGGCAGAGCTGAAGTTTAACCAAAGACATGTCTAGTAGTGACTGGCGCTGCAGGTTATATGAAGGAATGGCTTTAAAACCAGCTAAAGTTCCTTCAATATCTTCCTCTCCATCAAGACATTTCCTCTTCAGTCCACGTACAAACATTGTGTCCTGTTGAAAACAGAGCAAGATGCTATTAGATAACAAATCCAGAGCTTGTCTTCTAAGGTTTTATATTTAAAATCAAACAGCTTTATTACAAAACTGAGATTAATAAGGCAATCCTTTAGTCTGTACCCTGGAAATTAAACTCGGCATTTGCCACAATCATAGTAATATTAAAGGCACCCCAGGTGAAACCAGCTTTTGACAAGTGAATAATCTGCAGGTTCCTCTTATTAAATAAAACTGGAGTTAAAATCATTTTCAAATGTGATTTGCACACACCTAACATTCAATCAATACAGAATAGGTACTGTCTTAATGAGATAGCTTGTGCACAGCCACTCCATTCCAGGACAATTAACCTGGGACCAGTAAATAAATGTTCTGAATTATTTAGCTACAAGGTACGTTCAGACATCCTGGCACCAGAGAAGAGCATCTCTGCATGAGAGGGTAGCTAATACAAGCTGATTCTATGTTCCTTTTTCTCGGTATGGAAAGAATCAACATACAGCATCGCAATATTTACAATTCAGAATGAGAGGGGTTTTCAAAAGATTTCCTAAAGACCATAGGAGCCCTGTGAGTCTGCCTATGGAAAGTGCTACAGAGCACAGATACTACTGTTGAGAAAGGAAGATGGCCATAAGGAGCAGAGCTAAATCCAGTTTGTCATATCCATGGGGGGCAGGGGGAGAGATTCAAGTGCTCCCTAAGGGATCCTGGACTCCAAGCCAGGCATAGGTCAATGGCTATAGTCTAGCCGTCAGACAATTATTTTTAAAGGAAGTCTGCAGTTGGCAGACCAACCAAAACTGGTGGTGCCATTTCAGCAACAAGATGCAGAACCAAGTCTATAAGCACCCTCAAGTTTCCAATCTGCTTTTTCAGGGGGAGCATGACTCTTCCTAGAAGTGGCAGCCTATTTCTTGATTTCTGTGCTGTTTATCATCAAAATCTCCATAGCCTGGACTAAGCTTCATCTTATTAACCCTCATCCAGATAATCTTGGATTACGTGACTGAGGTGTCGAAAAGCTCCTGTTGCTGTTTGCAATGCGGAAAAAGGAGGTTCTTAAACGTGTCAGGCAAATTTGCTAGGAATCACAGTCTCAATCACATTTAGCACCATTTCCTTGAGGTTCAACACAAGCAAGGTTTTAAACATATGAAATGGACAGACCATTGGTATAGCTCAGCATTCTGTACACTGATTGGTAGTGAGTCTCTAGGTTTTCAGACACAAATCTCTCTCTACCACAGCTGGAGATGTTGGGACTTTCTGCATGCAAAGCAATACTGAGCTGTAGCCCCTTCCGTAGGAAACAAATACTTGTGCGAATGCTTTCGTCTTCCTGCTAGTTTAACAAGAAGCAAGACTGCAAGAGAACAAGCAGCTCTCTGACCCACTCAGGAACTACAAACATCTTGGTCAGTAGAGCATGAGACTCTTAATCGCCACATGGATCCAGCGACTATTCTGATTTTGCTTAGCAATATGCACCCTCCAATTCTACCATTACAGGAGAATTCTAGATTCACCCCCTACCGTACTCTCGTCATCCCTTTTCCAGTGAAACAGAAAAAGAAGATTTCCTTCCATGCAGATTACAGTGGTGCCTCGCAAGACGAAAATAATCCGTTCCGCGATTCTCTTCGTCTAGCGGTTTTTTCGTCTTGCGAAGCAACCCTATTAGCGGCTTAGCGCTATTAGCGGCTATTAAAGGCTTAGCGGCTAAAAGGCTATTAGCAGCATAGCGGCTTAGAAAAGGGGGGGGGAGCGGAAAAAATCGCAAGACTCGCAAGACATTTTCTTTTTTTTTTGTTTTTTTGCCATAAATTTTTTATAATTTTTCAAACATTTATACAGTTTTCCAAAATACAACAAATTACCTCTTGTTTGCTTTTTTGAACTTCCCTCAGCGTCTCTGACAATCATTCGTATTCATAACTGTAATTACACAGTCCTCCTTTCATATTGCCATTACACTTCCCTTCTCTCACTGTTTATTACTGACAATACCTCTCCCTCTTTACAGTGCCTCTTGAAATCCCGCTAGCGTTATATTCACACCACATATGTTTTTCAGATAATCTACGAACTTTCCCCAGTCTTCGATGAACTTTTGGTCTTTAGTGTATCTAATTTTCCCAGTTAATTTATCCAGTTCCGCATAGTCTGTCAATTTCAGTCTCCATTCCTCTATCGTCGGTATTTCCTCTTGTTTCCATTTCTGGGCAATCAAGATTCTGGCCGCCGTTACCGAATATTGAAAGAGTTTACAGTCTTTTCTTCTTACATCCATTCCTACAATCCCTAAAAGAAAAGCCTCCGGTCTTTTTACAAAAGTATATCTTAACATCTTTTTCATTTCATTGTATATCATTTCCCAAAAGCTTTTCTGTTTCTTGCATTCCCACAACCCCAGCTGCAACCCCATAGGGAAATTCGTCTTGCGAAGCGCATCGAAAAACGGAAAACCCTTTCGTCTAGCGGGTTTTTCGTCTTGCGAGGCATTCGTCTTGCGGGGCACCACTGTAGAAGAGAAAAACCAGGGCAAGTCAGAACTGAGTGCATTATGACCACCCTGAATTCAGGGCTACTTCAAATATAAGACTACTAAAGTCAAGACACATATGGTGGCAGAGATTATCACAAGTAACTATTTAGCCCATTAAATTCCCATTTCCTTGAGTCCCTGCACCTTGTAACTTGAGAGCACTTACTAAGTCCAGTAATGCTTACCAGACAAATTTTAGTCCACAAGTTACTTACCAATAATTGTGTCTGATGCAGTCCTTCCTCTTCCCCCATATTACAGAGCAAGATTCCATACAGCAAGTGTTCTAGCACCACCTACCTGAGAGCAGCAGGTGAAAAAATAAACATGCATTCCGTCAGTTAGAAAGTAAATTCACAGAAAATATGATAGAAACATTTTCAAAGCAAACTTATTTCCTCTCTTCCCATATGCATTCCCTCTCCCATTTGACAAAATAATGTGAAGTGAAAGCTAGGTTTGCAGAAAGTATGCAGTAAACCTCCCAAATCAGCCCCTGCAGCTATGGCTGATGAAACTTGAAACATTTATGTAGCACTTCCAAGCATTCAAAGCATTTCACATATATTACAGTGTTGCAATCTTTGCAAACACCCAGCAGGATAGATCAGTATTATTCCCACATTGTAGATGGGTGGTGGTGAAGGATAAAGCATTGGTGGCGGCCCACGCTTGTCTAAGGGCACCTATTGTTATTAATTAGGGATGTGATTTCAAAATACTTGATTTGAATACAGACACGGACTTCAATGGTAGGTGACCTTATAATTAGAAACTGTCAATTCACTCATGTTTGTCTCACATAGCAACAGTAGGAGCTAGCAGCTAGTATCATTGTCAACAAGGCTGGTACTTATTGTCCAATACCCTCAACTTCAGCTGTGGTATCCCAGGGTAAAGGAATTCACTTCTACTGCTAATTTTAGTAACATTTTCAATTTTTTAATGTTCTTGTTAGAACATATGAATGTGAAGCATTAATAGATTACATGTTTAAAATACAGCCTTTAATACAGTACTTTCAGTCCTGAATCTACTGTCATCAATTTCATTGGGTGACCCCCTGCCCACTCACCAATATTGCTGAGACTGGAAATATGTTGTAAAAAGGTAAAGGACCCCTGACAGTTAAGTCCAGTCATGAATGACTCTGGGGTTGCGGCGCTTATCTCACTTTACTGGCCGAGGGAGCCGATGTTTGTCCACAGACAGTTTTTCCGGGTCATGTGGCCAGCATGAATAAGCAGCTTCTGGCGAAACCAGAGCAGTGCACGGAAACGCCATTGACCTTCCCGCCGGAGCAGTACCTATTTATCTACTTGCACTTTTTGGCGTGCTTTCGAACTGGTAGGTTGGCAGGAGCTGGGACTGAACAATGGGAGCTCACTCTGTCGGAGATTTGAACCGTAGACCTTCTGATCTGCAAGTCCTAGGCTCTGTGGTTTAGACCACAGTGCCACCTGCGTCCCTTGGAAATATGTTGTATGTTCGACAATTGCTAATTACCGTACTTTCTCCCTTAATGGGGAATGAAAATCTACCAGCTAGATGCAGCCAGCTAATCCCTTTAGCTACTGCTCATGTATAGTTCATGGATCTCTGAAACATGGGGTATGAACCAGTTACTTATCAGATGTTATTGTGCTTCAAAGCTTATTATTTGCTTCTTTACATGCCAAGATAGCTGTCCCTTTACTCATCTGCATTTCTCTACCTTATTAATATTTATTGATGCTATTCTACAATTTCCCTTTTCCTGCAAAAAATATATAGTTGCTGTGGATTGAATCCAAGTCACCCACATAATACGAGCAGACAACATGATTACCAAAGTAGAAAAATCCACAGTACTGTACTTTGAGATTGCATTAACATTCCAAATGTGCCCTGCATAGGATACCAAGTGCTTCATTCAAGAGCTAACTATAGGAGAGGTTTTAATTTAAAATGGCTCAGGTGATGTCACCATATTTAAATGTAACTGTGAAAGATATTTGAGAGGACTTATCTGTGATCTGCTGAATGATATTTGATAAAATGCAAGATGGGCTGTGGGGGCCTGGACAGCTAAGGTCTCTAGGACTTAATCACCATATACCTGTAAAAGCTAGAGACTAGTTTCTTTCAAGTTACTGCAGTAAGGAAAAATAGGTGGCACTTTACAGACTGCAGTAAGTTGGATGGACAGGGTGGGATGCTGGTGTGAGATATAGATATAAAAATCAGGAAACAATGTTTCTGTGTACAGGATGGTAATGAAAACTCTGTCCAATGTATGAGATGAGAAGGATTGGAGGATGACACAAGAGGCTAAGAAATTACTGGATTATGTAGGATGTGAGGATAACACAGTTACCAAAGTGACGTGGCAAGGGCTGGTCCAGCTGGAAAACTATTTTAAGGTTTTTAAAATGAAGTTAAGCACAAGCCATGCACAGGGCTGCCAAGATCAAGTTTCTGGGTGCTAGGGCAACTGAATGCCTAGAACTTTTTCTAGCCCTGAGTGAACTTATAATACAATGTGATAAGCAAGACACAAAAAAGGGAGGCTTGTTGAAGCGTTTTGCAAAATTAAGTACAGGGACAATGTTTGGAAAGGCTAACGTGTGGAGCTTTTTGGTTTAGAAAAAGACAACTAAGAGCAACAGATGAAATCATGCACTGTGTGGTGAAACCAAATAGAATCCTTCCCTTAATAAACCAAGGTTTTACTTAATAAAAGTTGATGTGTAGTAGATGTAGGAGAGACAAAAAGTACTTCATGCAACATGGTTTTATTAAAGTCCCTGCCACAAAACATGGGTGATGCTCATTGGTTTAGGATGGCTATAGAAGGGGCTTAGACAAACTCATGGTGAATTCTTATCAATAGTTGGTTAGGACACAATATTAACCAATAGTTTACAGATAAGAGAACAAACAGCCTCCCCCAGGCTCGCATATACCTCCTCATTCTGATTTGGAGTTTAGAAACTTTACATTTAATTTTGGATTAACCACAGCTTGCTATTTTATTTGAACTCTGACAAACTGTGGCCAATCTTACCTATGGTTAGTGGAAACGTGCCGACTTCAGGCCACAGCTTATTCAGCTAACTTGTTTTAATTAAACATAGTTAAAGTTAACCATTGTCAGGGTTCAGACTATACACTACTGTGGTTAATATAGAATAGAAGCAGAACAACCCAATTCTCTCCTCACTGGTGCCCCAGAGGAGAGGTGCAGCTAGGTTTGTGCTTTTGATGTTAAAAACCATGTTTTGGCAATGTATCCAAAAGTAGCCAGCATGCCACTGAATACCACTAACTTGGAATGGAAACAGTGTATTTTTGCCTTTGTTCTGTGCTTGTGGGATTAATGGAAGCATCCAACTGCCCACAGTACTAAGATGGACTGATCTGATCCGGTAGGTATCTCCCTATAAACTGGGTTCTTTTGGCTAATCAAAGTCTGTGCCTTCTAGCAGGCTTTAAAACTGAGAAGTCCCACATATCAAATCTTACCTCAGTCGCCTTAGGTCTGAACCTTCTAGCAGGCTTAAAAACTGAGAAGTCCCACATATCAAATCTTACCTCAGTCGCCTTAGGTCTGAACCTTCTAGCAGGCTTAAAAACTGAGAAGTCCCATATATCAAAGCTTACCTCAGTCGCTTTAAGCAACCAACAATTCAGCTTCAGGCTCTTATCTGCATTATTGAAATAATAATGTCCTATGTTATAAGGCTATAAAAACAACTGAAAGAGATCTATGCAAATAGAACAGAATTATTAACTGAAATACTGTGAAGTTAGATAATTGAAAACTTCTGCCTTGGACAATTGTAATAAACTAAAGATGTACTCCTAAACACAATTACTAATAAGCAAATACCCTTGGACTGACTTCAGAATAAGCATTCTTACAATTGTGTTGTAAACTGTTTCTGTAAAAGGGATAGTACAGTGCATTATATTCAAGATAGTTCAGAATATCAGGTAGACCAGAGAATCAAATATATGGTGTCACAGAAAGGACAAAAAGAACAGGATAACTGAAGAATTCATGGGGAAGTGAGAAACTGCTCCAAAAGATGGAAAGTCTCAGATGAAAACTATATATGGATAAATATGATGACGTAATTATGGGAAAAATTCTTTGGCAATAGGGAAAACAGCATGCAATGGCTGTGAGGAAAAAGCCCAAGAGGATGTAAGAATTTCAAGTCAAAGGTAAGGATAAAAAGGCAGGAACACAGATAATAATATTCAAGAAAGGGTGCAGGGCAAAAGTGGAGATGAAGGACAGCAGTCAAGGTATATAAAGGAGTCAGGCAGGTAGGTGATGTTAAATGCTGACACATCTTTATTCTAAATCATCAGACACACATCCCACATACAAGACCACCTAAGCCTCTTACCAAAAAAGAGAACCACCCACCCACCCCTCTCCTGTGCTGTCTTAAGAGATATGAGAACCCAACTTTCCAAGGACTCCTGTTTGTACCCATACACCTCCAAAGCTTCGACCCACCTATTACTGATGGGCGGGTGAAGAAGACATGCCACGGTTGCTTGCGAGAAAGGTACACATGTACGTGTGCACGTGTCGGAGGAAAGGAACACGCTACGCTTGCGGGGAAGTGGGGCTTGATGGGACCAGGAGACCAGGTTACAATCGGGGCATTTTTTTTCCTAGTGGGGGAGGGGGAGAGCAAGAGAAACATTGTGTTGCGAGCTGCCCTGAGATCTATGGATGAAAGGGGGATATCTATCTATCTATCTATCTATCTATATAGATATGTGTGTGTGTGTATGTATATAATGTTTCTCTTGCTCCCCCCTCCCCCACTAGAAAAAAGGAAGAGAAAAAGAGGAGCAGCAGAGGTTTTCTAGCGGGGGCGGGCAAAAAAGAGAAAACGTGGGCAAGATGTAAGAAACATAAAGGGACCCGCGTGGGTGTGGAAACACCCGTGCATGTGCCTGGAAGCGGGGGATGAGCGCGTTTCAAAAGGGCTCGGGGCGCGAGTGGGGAAGGGGAACAGGAGCTGCAGCCGCCGCCACGCCCCCCCCCGACCCCACTCCTGATGCTCAGACGGGGATGATGTGGCGGCGGGGGGGGGGGCGAAGGAAAGGAGGCGAAGTAGGTAGGACCAGGTTCCGGCCGGGGAGCGAGGCTGCTGCTGGAGCGGGGCCAAAGCGGGTGGAAGGAGAGGATAGCAAAAGCTGCTGCTTCTTCGCGAGGAGAGAAGCCGGACGGGGCAGTAGCGCATGTGGGGCAAGACCCGACGGGGCTGCTGCTTCTGCGGGGCGCCAGGGGAAGCGGGCGGGATGATTCATCCTGTCCTCCTCCTCCTCCTCGGCCGCCATTTTGGAGCCGCGGCTCCGTGACCCTCCGCGGGCTCTTCCTCCTCGGCCGGCCCGGCCCCGCCGCTTCCTCCCCCCACCTCCTGCGAGTCACCGACCCGGGGCCAGCGGCCCCCTCCGCGGCCCAGCCCGCCGCCCGGCTCTTCTTACCCGCCGGCCCGCGCCGCCTGCCCCTGACGAGCTCCCGCTCCCGCCTCGACGAGCTCCGCGCCTGAGAGGAAAGGGGCGGGGCCAACGGTCCCGGGAGCTCCTCCCCCTTCCCTCCTGCGCCATCTTATTGTCAAACCCCACAAAGAAACGGTCGCCTACGCCCCCTTCTTCCCTCTCCCGCCTTGCTATTGGCGCGGAGGAGGCACGTGGGAGGCCTTCGGCACCGCCCGTCGCAGGCTTCGGCCTTCCCATTGGGTCGCGAGGGAAGCGGGGGAGACGCTCTCCGCTGAGATCATTCGCGCTGGTGTGGGGGGGGGGGAGTGGAGATCGCTACGGGGATTAGTCCCGCCCACCCGCCAGCCGCCTTTCCTTCTCATTCTTGGGCCCTCGGCCGGGCATTGGTGCAGGGCGTTGCCATGGAACCCAGCCCCGCCCCTCGGCTGTAAGTGGCTGGCCGGGAGGCAGGCGAAGTTTCAAACGCCTGCCAAAGGCTGGGCAGGATTCGGAGGGGAATCCCACGCGCGTTTACATGGGAGTAAGCCTCGCCGATCTTCGGGCTGCAACCCTACGCATTACTTCCGTGGACTCCCTCTTCGATTCCTTTTAAATGTTGACCCTGGTTTACTATGATATCCGGAACCTGCAAACTGTGGTTTAATTCAGATACCATGGGCTACCGTTTTTGGCCCACGTGCTAACCATAGTTGCTGTTAATGCAGAACGGTAACTCCGGGGAGGGGCCATGGGCGTAGCCAAGGGGCAGCTGCCCCCCCCTCAAGTAAAAATACTTAACTGAGGTTCTGCCCCCCCAACATGAAGCCTGTTCCCCCCCCCTCATAAATCCTGGCTGCACCCATGGGGTGGGCTAAACAGTGTTTTTTTGCCCCAGGGGAATCTTCCAGAAGGGCACCATTGAGGCTCTCAGCTTTGTGTGTGTGTGTGTGTGTGCGCGCGTGCGCATGCGTGCGCAAATACACATAGGGGGTGCCAAAATTTATTTGACCAGGGTGAAATAAAGCCCCCCACCACTGTTAACGCCATAGCAAGCTATGGTTAACACTCAATAGGAAACAGAGGAAGGCCTGGTATGCAGTGCTTCCCCCCCCTAAAAAATGTTTAGGGGTACTTTCATTTTGACTCAAGAAAATCACCATTTTATAGTTCAAATCGGGGAAAATAAATGCAGTAAATGGACAAAAGTACAAAGATTCACAAAATGTTTAGGGCTATGTGTACCCCTGCGTGCCCCCTGAAGAAAAGCACTGCTTGTATGCCATGAGTTTTCTGCTACAAATCGTGTACAAATTATAATCATCTTCATCTTGCTCTCTTTTGGTTTTGACCATGCAACCTTTCAGCTTTAATTGCCCTGGTACAGATGTACAGGTGGTACATGACCCCAGTCAAGCTGGCAAAAATTTATCATCTGCCCAATAACAAATGTTGGAAATGTAATGAGACTGAAGGTACCTTCTACCACCTTTGGTGGACCTGCCCGAGGATAAAGGCTTTTTGGGAAATGATCTATAATGAAATCAAGAAGGTTCTTAAATGGACCTTCTCTAAAAAACCTGAGGCTTTTCTCCTGGGCATCGTCAGCCAATCGGTGAGAAGGAAGGATAGGACGTTTTTTATGTACGCGACCACAGCAGCAAGGATTCTTCTAGCAAAGTATTGGAAGACACAACAACTACCCACACTGGAAGAATGGCAGACGAAGGTGATTGACTACATGGGACTGGCGGAGATGACTGGCAGAATCCGTGACCAGGGGAAAGAGACAGTGGAAGAAGATTGGAAGAAATTCAAAGTATATCTAGAACTTGTTGTAAAATTCAGGAGTGTTAAAATGTCAAGGGGTTGGGAAATTGAGAATTGCAGCTGTAATTAACAATTTTAGAAAAATTTAAAAGAAATTGAATTGAATAATTAGTTGACTGAGGAGTTGCTGAAGAAATATAAAACAAGGATGCAGAAAGGGGGAGGTATGGGGAAGTCTGGGAAGTAAGGTTATGAAAAAAACGGCTATGAAATTATACATGTTTATATGTGTGTATGTCTGTGTAATGTGTATTGTCTGTTTTTATTTTGTGTTTGGAAAATCAATAAAAAATTATTTAAAAAAAAAAGAAAATTAATTGCCCTGGTACAGAAAGAAGCAGTGGGTTTAAGTAATTGGGGCAGAATCAAGGGGTTTGTGTTCAGCGTTGTTGGTGACCTGTTAAAATGTCACTAAGTCATTTTGCCCGTCTGACTTTCTTTGTGCCACTCATCTACCTATTTTCTGTTTCCTCTTCTCAGAGGTTGCTTTCAGAATCAGCTATCCATTACCTTGTGCTCTTGTCTGTGGGTGTTTACAAGAATCAAGGGTTAATCCTAGTGGTGCAGCAATAAAACTGCTAGTGTATTTGCAAAGCTAAGCAGGGTAGCAAAACCTGCATGTGAGGTTCTCAGATCTGCACATTGGTTTCATGCTAATTCCCCTGTGGAGTACCTGTATATTCAATATAAAGGGATTCTGTAAAGTGTGAAAGCAAAAGAGGAGAAAATGGCTGCAATGTTTTAGGTCGCCTCCAGACTGCCAGTATTTTGCTGGAGGTATTCAAGCACATACCAGAACTTTAAAGGTAAAGGTAAAGGTACCCCTGACCATTAGGTCCAGTTGCAGACGACTTGGGGTTGTGGCGCTCATCTCGTTCTATAGGCCGAGGGAGCCGGCGTTTGTCTGCAGACATTTTCCGGGACATGTGGCCAGCATGACTAAGCCACTTCTGGCAAAACCAGAGGAGCACACGGAAACGCCGTTTACCTTCCCGCCGGAGTGGTACCTATTTATCTACTTGCACTTTGACGTGCTTTCGAACTGCTAGGTTGGCAGGAGCAGGGACCGAGCAACGGGAGCTCACCCTGTCACAGGGATTCGGACCACCAACTGATCGGCAAGCCCACCGACCAATTGGCAAGCCCAAGAGGCTCTGTGGTTTAGACCACAGCACCACCCGCGTCCCCTCACCAGAAATTTAGGTTCATGCAATTAAAATGGGTTAGTAGAATAAAGGCACCCTAGTGCCACAAGACACCCTAGTGCCATCCATTCTTAAGGAAATCAGCCCTGAGTGCTCACTGGAAGGACAGATCCTGAAGCTGAGCTCCAATACTTTGGCCACCTCATGAGAAGAGAAGACTCCCTGGAAAAGACCCTGATGTTGGGAAAGATTGAGGGCACAAGGAGAAGGGGACGACAGAGGACAAGATGGTTGGACAGTGTTCTCGAAGCTACCAGCATGAGTTTGACCAAACTGCGGGAGGCAGTGGAAGACAGGAGTGCCTGGCGTGCTCTGGTCCATGGGGTCACGAAGAGTCGGACACGACTAAACGACTAAACAACAACATCAGTGCTACAAGTCCACTTTCAAAAGAAGCAAGACTTTTTGTGGTTAGGAAAGTGAGGGGGGAACGCAGTGAAAAGTGTGGGATGAATGAATCATTTAATGGGGAGAGTTCTAACACCCTGTAAGCAAATCAGGATGTTATTGGCATCCATCTGTTTTGAGATACAGTGGTACCTTAGGTTAAGAACTTAATTCGTTCTGGAGGTCCGTTCTTAACCTGAAACTGTTCTTAACCTGAGGTACCACTTTAGCTAATGGGGCCTCCCGCTGCCGCCGCCGCCCGATTTCTGTTCTCGTCCTGAAGCAAAGTTCTTAACCCGAGGTACTATTTCTGGGTTAGCGGAGTCTGTAACCTGAAGCGTCTGTAACCTGAGGTACCACTGTACTGCACTCTTGCCCCACTTGTGGTATTCAAAGGCCTGCTACCTCTGATAGTCAGGAATACAAGAGAATGCTTCCTTCCCCCCAAGCCCAGTTTCAGAGGTAGAAAGGCCGTCCAAGGTGCCAGAGAAGGCATCTCCAGGCACATGGGTGCCGATGACTGATGTGCTGCTTTCAAACCTCGGATTCAAAACTACTATTGAAGCCCTGGAAACGAGGCAGCAAATTATTGAGAGGTGATCTCCGTTCACAGACACTGGCGAGAACCAGTGGGGGTGTAGTGATTAGGGTGGAGCTTTCCAAATGCTTCATGCCGGTGACACGCTTTTCAGACTCATGTCATTTCGCGGCACAGTAATTCAGTTTTACTAGCAAACCAAAGGTTAAACTAACCCCTTTCCAGCCCCGGGACGAGCACAGGGAGCGTTTGCACGACACATCTACATGCTGCAGCCCACACAATTAACGTGTCGCGACACACAGTTTGGAAAGCTCTGGATTAGGGTGTTGGACGAATACCTGGGATACTGGGTGGCCTTGGGCCAGTCACTGTCTCTCAGCCTAACCTGACTTACAGGGTTGTTGTGAGAATAACATGGGGAGAGGGAGAGGCATGTTCACCACCCTGAGCTCCTTGGAGGGAAAGGTGGGGTGTAAATGTTATGTAGTGTAGTTTCACCCTGGGCCAACAGGGGGATACTGTATATAGTTTTCACTCAGGTCTGTAGATAGTTTTCACTCAGGTCCGCGGCAGTTATTTTAGGCGGGAACTCTGGGCTGTTGTGGTTACAATGTTGACAGCCAGCTGCCTATAAATACAGGCCGGCTGAGCTGTTCGCAGTCAGTTGTATTCCAGCTTACCATAATAAAGAGCTACTTGAAGAAATCGCTGTGCCGGCTGCTATGTCAACCCACGACTTAACACTGGCGACGAGGATGGGATGGATGGACATCAGAGCACAGCCAGATGCGGCCAGCCTCTGAACTGAGCTGAATCACTGAGCTGAATCACAGAGCGAAATCACTGAGCGAAATCACTGGGCAGAACCAATTCAGAGCTGACTGTTCTGGCTAGAGCACTGTGTTCCATCCATCGCCCTTCACGCCGGCATCGGAATCATGGCTTCACTTGTGCCTCTACCGCCGTTTGCGCCAGCCTCTGAATCGTGGGACTCCTACCTCGCTCGGTTCGACTGCTACCTCCAAGCCAACGAGCTGACAGCAGTATCAAAGGATCGGAAGCGGGGCCTATTCCTCAGCCTCTGTGGGCCTGAGGTGTTTGAGACGGCCCGAGCGTTGGTTGCGCCTGAAGCAGTCCAGGCAACACCATGGGACACGATCCAAGAGAAGCTCCGCAACCACTACGCACCAAAGCCGTCCAAGATTGCTGCCCGCCATGCGTTCTACCACCGGAACCAGGCAGAGGGGGAGTCATTCAACAACTACACCACCGCCCTGCGACAGGCTGCAATGCACTGTGAGTTCCGAGACTTAGACGATGCCCTGATGGATCGAATCGTCTGCGGGGTCCGGGACATCCATCTGCAACGGCGCCTCCTAGCCAAGCCAGACCTCACGCTACAGAAAGCCATTGAGGAGGCTGTGGCCTCAGAAGCTGCCGAACGCTCCGCCCAGGAGATCCGCAAGTCCAGCAGCCCACGTCTTGCTAGGGAGCCAGTTCCGGTGCATCATGAAGAGGCCAGCAGTGATGAGGCATCCTCCAGTGAAGACGATGACGTGCACCAGACAAAGCGGGAGCGCAGGAAGTTCCAACAGAAGTCCAAGGGCCAACCGGAATGTGCTGGCTGCGGAGGCAACCATTCCCGTGCCAAGTGTCGATTCAGAGACGTCATCTGTAGGAAGTGTTCCAGAAGGGGCCACATCGCTAAGGTCTGCCGATCGGCTCCGTCTGACACCCCCCCTTCCTCGACTCGCAAGTCCAAGTCTTCACTCCAGTCTGCCAAGGAAAGTTGTTTCGCTCTCACCAACTGCCGCTGCCCGTCTGGAACCACGATTGGCCAAACCGACTCGCCTACGCGACGCAAGCTGAACGTCACGGTGCTCATTGAAGGAGCTCCATGTGACATGGAGATCGACACCGGGTCTGCCCTGTCCATCGTGTCATGGAGCACCATCAAAAGACTGGTACCCAGAGTGTCCAAAAGGCAACTCGACTCTCACCGCGTACACCTGAGAGACTACCAGGGAAACGACATTCCCGTGGTAGGCGTTGGCCGGTTCCGGACGCTTTC